GCAGATCCCAATTCAGAGTGGTTTGTATGCTGCATGGATAGGATAATTAGGCTATGTGCTGGGGGGCTTTATTCTATGATAAATAGACTTCCACAGTTACCTATTTAGAATGGAATAACGGTACAGAAAAAGCAGTAGACTGCAAATATTAAAACTAACTTGTAGCCAGTCTGCACCGATTTTATAAGACAGAGCAAGTTAGTTTCACAAAAGGACAGTTTTACTTCTTTGCTGGCAAGTGCATTGCCACCTATAATGTCCAGGTCTGTAAGAGGCTATCAGCTTGACACCCACGTCAGGATTTAGCCCAGATCTTACCTAAATACCTAGTCAGGCTTGAACCAGTGACAAGTACAGAACAATGAGAATGTAACCAAAAGCTAGTAGTGGTGAGCAAGGTACATTGGGGTGGCTTGCACTATAGGCCGTGTCATCCCAACTACTCTCTGGATATGACGGCAGGAGTGGAGTTGGTTTGAGGGCAGGGTCCAAAACCAGCCTGTGGCAACACAGAGATACCCTATCTTAAAAAAATTTTTTTATTTAATTTTTTTTTTTGAGTCTCCCTTCTTGCTCAGGCTTAGAGTGGTACCATGGCATCGCTAGCTCACAGCAACGTCAAACTCCTGGGTCAGTTGTATCCTCCTGCCTCAGCTCTCGAGTAGCTGGGACTACCAGGCATGCGTCACCATGCCCGGCATTTTTCTATATACTATCTAGCTGCAAATTAAATTTCTTTTATTTTAGTCTAAATGACGATGGGTCTCGCTCTTTCTCAGGCTGGCTATTTTTTTTTTTAGACATGATCTCAGTGCGGTCGCCGGCTCAAGCACGGCCTGTAATCCTCGCTCTCGCGCCCGGAGGCCGAGTAGTCTCTCGCGGGCGGATTGCTCAAGGTCTCTGGTGTTTCGCAACAGCCTGATCACGATAGCGAGACCCGCTCTCCCTCTCATTAAATAGCCGGCAATCTAATTGGCCGATTACTGTATGTTATATAGAAAAAAAAATTAGCCGTGGTCATGGTGGTGCATGCTGTAGCTCCAGCTACTCAGGAGCTGAGGCAGTCCTTCAGGAGGAGGCTGAGGCAGTTGAGCCCACGGTTTGAGGGTTGCTGTGAGCTAGCTGACGCCAGGGCAGCTCACTCTAGCCTGGGCAACATAGTGAAACTCTGTCTGAAAAAAAAAAAAAAGGTTAAAAGGAGTCATGGTTATTTACCACACAGAGTGAGTACTGTCAAAAAAAAAAAATTTTGTTTTTTAACCAAGAGGGAAATAGGGAGGTTCAAGTTAAATTTCCTAATGAGAAGAATGAGAGATACCCTAACAGTTCAACAAAGTAAAGACAAACAGAAAGCTGCTTAAACTTAGGCACCCACAGGATTTCAGACATTTCCAATACAAAATTTATCAAGCATGTACTATGTTTATATACATTAACCATTAATAACTGTGCATTACTGCCTTCAAAGTTGGCTTTCCTAAGCAATAAGCTAATGCAATAAACCAGAACTAGTTAAGTAAGAAGGATGGTGGGACAGAAAAATCCATTCAATAATCAAAGAACGTTCAAAAATTTAAGCCTGAATCACAAAGCCATCCAACAAATTAACACCATCTGGGTTTCAAAAACTACACTGCACTGCAGAAGCAATGTTTTCCAACTCAGTACTTGGAAATTAAGTCATTTCCAGGACTCCAGGTAATCTTATCTAAAGGGCCCAATTCCCTGACAGAACTGTTTCATTTCTACTGGCACCACAACGGTTTTTTAAAAAATAATAGCATGTTTGTTCCTAGACATATCTTCCTTCCTTCCACATCTCTCTTCTATTTGGAAGATATTTTCCTTTCAAGATGATGAAGTGTTGGCTGGGCAAAGAGAGAGATACAGAAAGCTGCTTAAACTTAGGCACCCACGGATTTCAGACATTTCCAATACAAAATTTATCAAGCATGTACTATGTTTATATACATAACATTAATAACTGTGCATTACTGCCTTCAAAGTTGGCTTTCCTAAGCAATAAGCTAATGCAATAAACCAGAACTAGTTAAGTAAGAAGGATGGTGGGACAGAAAATCATTCAATATCAAAGAACGTTCAAAAATTTAAGCTGAATCACAAAGCCATCCAACAA